GGCTTTTTTCTTTTTGCTTATGTGGTGCTGAGGAATTGAACAGGGCCTCAGGCATGCAAGGCAAGCACTCTACCACTGAGCCATCTTCCCAGCCCCTCATTGTTAATCTCTACAGCTTCTTTTTTTTTACTATAAAAATAAAGTATTATTTTGAGATTTTTGAGATAAGTTCTTGAAATTCTTACTTAATAAAGCCCTAACTATATATAGTATTCCTTACTTAAAAAAACTGCAGAAAGGCTTGAGCTGTCAAAATTAGCATGAGTAATATTAGGATGTATAATTACTTGTTTATGTCTCTTTAAAGGAACAGCAAATCCAAAAGTCACTTTTAAGATGTCAGAAATAATAGTTGATGCTGAAGGAAGGGTGAGTATATAATGTTGAATTGACTTTCTGTGTCCCTTGTCTAATCAGTCTAGTTAAGGTATTTGATGCACTTTTCTGTTTTTTGTTTTTGTTTTCTCTTGTTGGAATTTGCTGAGCTATTAGTGGATCATGATTTTTTTTTATTTTGGCCTAATTTTCTGTGTGTGTGTGTGTGTGTGTGTGTGCCCGTGCGTGCGTGCGTGCGTGTGTGTGTGTGTGTGTGTGTGTGCGTGTGTGCGTGTGTGTGTGGGCATGTGCTAGTACTAGGGCCTGAATTCAAGCATCAAGCCCTTGCTCAGCCTTTTGGCTCACACTGGCACTCTGCCACTTGAGCCAGGCCTGGCATTTTTCCTAATAAATTGGAATTATATTTGCTGACTTTTCTGCCCTTGCTAGCTTTGAACCCAGATCTTTTAGGTTTTAGCCTCTGAGTAACTAATATTAAAGCTGGAGCTGGTGGCAGCCAGCTAGTTTGACCTCCTTTCAGGAGTAAAGCTGGGCGCGGTGGCTCACACCTGTAATCCTAGCTCCTCAGGAGGCTGAGATCTGAGGATCTCGGTTCAAAGCCAGCCCAGGCAGGAAAGACTGTGAGACTCCTATCTCCAATAAACCACTAGAAAACCGGAAGTGGCGCTGTAGCTCAAGTGGTAGAGCGCTCACCTTGAGCTGAAGAGCTGAGGGACAGTGCCCAGGCCCAGAGTTCAAACCCCATGACCAACAAAAAAAAACAGGAATAAACATATTTACTACTCCTTTCCAATAGTTTTTTTTTCCTTTGGCTTTATTCATTCTTCAGTCAAGATTGGATATGATAAAAAGTGGTTGTTGATTGGTAATTCATTTTCTATTTGGGTTTTTGTTTGTGATGAATTAAATATCACACATTTCTCTTATTTGTACTTAACTGCACCTTCTCTTTTGGACAGTCAAATACTTCAAAGGAGCATTACATTATTAGTTGGAAAGAACACTTCTAGATTTTAACATAGCTTTACTAAGACAATTTATATACAATCAATTTACTCATTTTAAAGTTTAAAATTGGGCCTGGGAATGTAGCTTAGTGGTATAATGCTTGCCTAGTATGCATGAAGCCCTAGGTTTGATTCCTCAGTACCACATAAACAGAAAAAGTCAGAAGTAGCGCTGTGGCTCAAGTGGTAGAGTGCCAGCTTTGAGCAAAAGAAGCTCAGGCACAGTGCCCAGGCCCTGAGTTCAAGCCCCAGGACTGGCAATAATAATAATATTAATAAAGTTTAAAATTCAGTGGCCTTTAGAACATTCACAGAGTTGGGCAACCAGAATCAATTTAGAAAGTTAGCACTTCAAAAGAATCATTAGCTGGGTGCCATTGGCTTATACCTTTAGTCTTAGCTACTCAGGAGGCTAAGATATGAGGATGGCGGTTCAAAGCCAGCCCAGGCAGGAAAGTCTGTGAGACTCTTGCCTCTAATTAACCACCAGAAAACCGGAAGTAGCACTGTAGCTCAAGTGGTAGAGCTCTATTCTTAAACAAAGAAGCTCAATGATAGCACCTAAACCCTGAGTTCAAGCCCCAAGACTATTTTTAAAAAATATTTTAAGCCTCTCATATATATGAACATACAGGCATTAGCATTATATTTTCACTTCTCCAGTGTATATAGCTAAGAATAGAATTGTTGGGGCATTTGAGAACTCTGCTTAATGTTTTGTGGAACTGCAAACTGTTTAGAAGTGGCTATACTTTTTTTATGTTCCCACTAGCATTGTATGAACTTTCTGATTTCTTCATCATCAACACTTGCTATTGTCCATCTTATTATAGCTCTCCTGCTGGGTGTGAAGTGATGTTTCATTATTATTTTGACTTAACATTTTCCTGGTGGCTAACAATGTTGAACATTTTTTTTAATTGTGAAAATACCATACAGAGGGGTTACAATTACATGGGCAAGGTAATGAGGACATTTCTTATCAAGCATTGTTGCGTCCTCCTTTGTTTCCCCTTCCCACCCCTTCCCATCTCCTCCCCACTCACTGCCCTCCCTGAACATTTTTTTCTTGTGTTTACTAGCAACTTACTTTCTTTAGAGGATTAACTTCACCCTTTTTTTTTGGGGGGTCCGGTTGTGGGGCCTGAACTCTGGGCCTGGGCGCTGTCCCTCAGCTCTTCAGCTCAAGGCTAGCACTCTACCACTTGAG